TTATTCACTGAGGGAGGATTGAGACTCAAGAGTCCCTCAGCAGCATCTCCAGCTGGATCACCCCCCACACACACACACACTAGGACCCTCATTGCCAAAAAGATGTTTTGAATTTGGTTGTTGTTGTTTTGCAGTTGTAGCCCTTTTGACAATTCCTTCCCTCCAAACACAACAACTTATTGTGTCATGATCACAGCATTGCTTGCTGTCTTTTCACCTGTAAACTTAAGTGGCTGTGATCTGAACATGGTTTTGCAAGTTACAAAAAAATTAAAAAGAAATTGTGGTATCTTTAATCTTATTTTAGCATAAATGTCATGGATTCCAATTGAATTTCTGAATATTATAAAATGTTGCAATGTGTTGTTTCCTCAGTAAAGGGATTCAAGAGAAATGTAAGGACATTTAAATGAAAAATGCAGATAAAAATACAGTGAATTAAATAATTATAGAAATTAACAACAATGAATAAAAAACATCCAAAAACCACTGAAAACATGTGAGAAAAAGATGGAAAACTCCAACATCGCCCCCATTAACTTCACACTTCATTTCTACAAGGGTGCTGCAAATCTGACAGGCAGTTATTTTTTTGTGGGTGGGTTGGTTTGAGGAGCCATCTATGCAATCTACAGTTGTAATCAAAATTATTAAACCCCCATTGCAAACCAGGTTTATTGTCAAAATTTACAAACTTTCAGCTGTTTGCAATGAATGAATCAAACAAAAGCCATTCATATAGCTCACCACGAGTCTTTGAAGTGGTTCCCCCAAATTCCACAGAAAATGCCGCTTGCAATGAATTCTGCACTCTCAGAATTATTCAGCCCCTTCATGGCAAGCATTTTTAGTCCTTAGGAGAGCACCCTTTTGCTGTTCAGACCTGCTGCAGACGAGATGCACAGCCAGGCACCAGCTTCTGGCCGCATTCCAGAGGAATCTTAGCCCCTTCTTCATGATCAATGTCCTCCCCATTGAGGAACGTTCTTGGGTTTGGGGGCTGCGGCCGCCTTCTTCAAATCTCCATCCCTCTCGCTCACTTTAGCGTCTTTTAACCCTGTGGGCTCCCCAACTCCTTTAGCCAGTTTTCATCTCCTCCTGAACAGGGCAGGAGGGTTCTGGGTTCGTGTTCAGTTATTTCGTTCTTTCTCCCTGTTCACTTTCAGCTTCCAACTTGGGCCTCATTATTGGGTGCGTCGCAGTAGTTCTTCTCCTGATCGTGGCTGGGATTGCTGGCGCCTGGGTCTACAACAGTAAGTCAAGGAGTGAATGCCTTGGTTGGGAGGTTGCTGTGTGGTTGGAGGGAGGCGTTTTCCTGTGGAGTCTCCCTTCAGGGGGAAAGATTGAGAGGAGACCCATGGTCTGGGCTTCCCTGCTCTCTTCCTACACCGTCCCTCAGGGCTCGTCACAAGCATCTCAGGTCTCTTCCTCTTTCCCAGGGATCCCCACTTTGGGGTTTTTTTCATTTGAAATCATGACAAATGATGAGGGACACCCCCAGATCTCCCCTTCTCAAAGTATCATGGGAAGCGCCACCTCCTTTCTGTGCTGACCCAAGTTGCCCCTCAGGGTTCTTCTGGGGCAGAGGGAGACGAAAGGGGCCCTGTAGGTGTTCTTGAACTGCAACTCCCATCAGCCCTGGTTACTGTGAGCAGTTGCAAAGGATCTAGAACCATGGTTCTAGAAGGAGGGGCCAGAGGCAGGAGGGTTTCCATGGGAGCCCATGAAATCGTTTGTTGCTACCAGGAGACCGACCTTCCCTGCCTCCAGAGGTGGGTTTGGATGATCTCTGGGAACAGCCTTCAGCGCTAACTCTCCGATTCTGTCTCTGCAGAGAAACGACAAGAAGGCTACAAGGCAGCATCAAGTGAGTAGAACTTTCCTCTTTCTGAGTTTAAATTCCAAGCCTCAGGCTGCCTCTGAAGCTCTTGGACTACATGTCCCATCCGCCCTAGCCATCGGGAGCAGTTGCGGAGAATTATGGGGTGGGGAGCAGCAGTCTTTCTGATCAATAGCCTGTCCTTTGAGTACGGGTCTCTTAATCATTTGCTTGACATCTTATGGTGAAAATGCTCTTTTAAAAAATGAAATAAAGGCCAGGTCTTGGGAAGGAGAAGCGCAACCCTCTCCTCTCGTGTGGGATTAAGACGCAGTGAAGAGACCGCTTTGGAGTAACATGTGCTGGTCCTTTCGTTGTCTGGGCTCCTCGTGGACTCGGATCGCTCTCTGCCTGGTGCCAACTCTGGCTGGTCTTCCAAATCACCCGTTTCACCACTTCCGGTCCCTTCCCCAAACCCACTTTTTTCTTAATGCCTTTGACACAAGTTTCTAGGATCCGTATGTTATACATTTCCAGGGTACTGACTTGTTTGTTTCTCTTTTCCCAAATGTGGGATTACACAAGCCTGCCTTCCTCTCCCATGCAAGGTCTCCTGATGGTGCTATAAAAGTGAACAAATAAAATGTGGGAAATGGCATGTAGGGACTATTTTGTTAAAGGTGTTGTAGCCCTAAAAAAAAAACAACCCTCACTTGCAGTTAAGGCTGGAGAGGCCATTGCTGGAACCTTCTGAGGGGTGGGAAGCCCCAAACTAGAGGGTGAAAACTAGAGGAAGCTAAACCATTGTTCCCAATTGCGGAGCTGAGTAGGGCTGTTCCGTGATCAGAAGGAGGTCCCTCGTGCAGAAGGTAGGCCTGAGTGGGAGCTGACCTGATGGCTCAAAACAACCATCTCTGTCCTTCCACTGCATGACACTCTGTGCACTTTGGGGGATTCAGTAAGTAGTAACCATGTTTCCCCGAAAATAAGACAGGGTCTTCTATTAGGTTTTGCTCCAAAAACACATTAGGGCTTATTTTCAAGGAATGTTGTTTTTTTTTTCATGTAAAACCATCTACATTTATTCAAAAGCAGTCATGTCATCTTCTGGTTGCTGCACAAGGGTGGACTGGCAGGCTTTCAATTAAATGGGTCTTATTTTCAGGCCAGGTCTTATTTTTGGGGAAACAGGGTTACGATCAGTTTCAGAGGACAGGAACGCTACAGACATCTGCCACGTGGAAGATAACACTTTTTATATCATTGCAAACTGCTTGCTCTTCAGCATTAGATGCCTCCCAGGGCAGCTGAAATGTTGCTTTTTATGTTTCTCCCCAGAAGACACTGGCCTCTCCTGTCCCTGCCTCTTCCAGATTTAGATGTCCATTTTTATCATCCTCCTGCATGGTTGATTTTGTAGTTTGATGTAAGAGTTAGACTCTTTTGTTGCTGAGAAAAGGGCTTAACCCCACCACCACCCATCCATGGATGTTGAAATCCTGATCTTTTCCTCTTTTCCAGCAAATGACGGAGGTTCCAGCATCACCAGTGAAGGTAAGTGATGGAATCTCACCCAAAAAGGACAGGAAAAACCCCTACAGGGAAAAGAAAGACAGACCCTTTTAAAGCCCATGGTCTCTCCATGTTGTCTGCTTCTTCAGATCCCCCAGGGGAGAGAGGAGGTCCTTCCCTTCCATTTGTTTCTCCAGCCCCACTTTTCAGTGCAAGGGCATCATCAGATGGCCTGTCTTAGTGAAATATTTTTGGGATACCCATTCAGGGCAAGGGCACTTCTAGAAAGCGATTGATGGAGGCCTTTATGTTCTTATAACTGAGCCTCTGAGGTCTGACCTGAAGACTGAACAGCCGCATGTGTCACAATGTCAGGCACAATTCAGGGAGATGCTGATTTGGTCACCTTTTCTCTCCACACAGGGAACAACCCATCCGTTTAGTATCCTCAGAATGAGGTGAGTTGCAGAGAATGACCTTATCATCTGAGCAGGAGGGGGAGAGAGGCCAAAGCCAAGTCCATTCATTCTGAGGACAGATCCCTTCTCCCTTTTCCAAACACGGTTGACTCCAGGAATACAAGAGGAGTCTTGCAAGGGAGGGACTGGATCTCTGGGAAGATGATGGATCCCTAGTAAGCAGACTCCTGCAGCTGCAGCCTGTCAGCCCAGTTGAGAGTCCTTCTTCCCCGCCCGCCCACTTTCAGGAGAGGTGTCAGGACTTGCCTTTCCTGGCTGCAGGAGGGGAAGGTTTTGAGGGGGTCAGTGAAAAATCAGAGAAAGGAAAAGTGGAAGGAGGGGGCGGCACTCTTTATTCTGTCCTTGATGGTCCTTTCTTTCTTCTGATGGGGTGCGAGGGGGTTCTCCTGCCAAAGCAGTTGAGACTCCAACCTCTTCCCACCTCAGGGAAGGACTGGCATGTCCATCAGGAGGAGACGGAAGAAGAGGAAGCAGTAAGGGCAGGACCTTTGGGTGACCAAGCCACGCCTGGGGTGTCTGCAATAGTTTGGGTTGCCAGCATACTCCAGACGCAACTACAACAAAAACTGAGCTTGCTGTGTGGTTGAGCCTCCTGCGCCTCAAATATGCAAAGGCTATTTTACTGCATCCTCGGTTTAGAGATGGCCCAAAGCCTGCCCTCAGCATTGAAGGATCTGAATTGTATGTATCCCCCTGTCAAGGTCAAAAGTATGGCACTTGAACAGAGCCCTCAGAGTGCTATAGCACTTCATAACACCCCTTGGTAGTTTTGAGGCTGTGGTTGTCTGTAACAGCTAACATTTTTCCCTGAAGGGGTTAAATACCAGTGAGAACCAGATCATCCCGACCGTCCTATCCAAGTTCATCTGGGTATCAAAGTAGAAGGCATTTAGTTGCTCCTGCATGATTCTCCAGGAATATCAGGGTGCAGTAATTGATCCATCTGCTGTCCTGGCCAAAAATGTAGCTTCTCAGCATGCTCCATATCTCTTCATAACAGATCACTGTTTTTGCTGACTCTTACCCCAACTCCAGGGACAAAGAAGGGGAAGAGTCTGCTCTTGCCTGTCTGCGAAGCAGCATCCTAAACAGATTCTTCGTCTCTTTTCAGCCCAAATCGGGGCCGGTGCTTCTTGCAGAGGAAGCCAAATGAGGAAGAGTGGATCCATCATGCTCTGAACCCTGCAGTGCCCTTTTACAATTTCTTCCATTTTTTCACTAGCTATAATTAATGCCTCTTTTTGGATTGTGAAAAGCTTGGCTTGATGTTGCGATTTCTGAAAACTCCACAGGTCCTAAGACCTTGTTCCCGTGTCCTGTTTGGGGCAAAGAACACTTGAGAAAAGCTTTGAGGAATGAGGTTCCTTTGCAGCTGAAGTAAGAATTTTAGGCCCACCATTGAATGAACAAAATATCTGGTGATTCTTGTTATTTAAATTGATGAGGCTGCAGCTGTAATGAGTCCCAGTCTAGGAGAAAAGCAGCATCTTGATCACTTTATCCATCAGTCAGTCAGTCAATCAATCAGCCAGCCAATCAACCTTTGCAGTCCGTGGAGCTTTCTTACTTCAGAGCGTGACTGACCAGCAGAGCTGTTATTTAGTCAATTTTGTCTTAACAAGAGATTATGAGAAAAATTGTATTTCTGAAGGGGAAAAATGCTACTTTCACATTATTTTATACATATCTTTTATATATTAACTCAGTTCTGGCTTTTTTACCTGCTTGCACTTAAATTTCTAACATTTGGAGGGAAATAATGAATTCAGGGTGCCTGTGTTCTCTTGGTTGGTAATGAACACTTTGAAATTACCTATAAAATCAAAGTCATCAATGATCACTGTCCCTGATCTGAATTTCAAATGTTCAAGCAATCATGATCTGATTCTTCTAGATTGGAGCTCCTTCTTAGTGACATAAGTAACATATTTTACTTGGCTTTTATGGCTGTGGGTGTAAGATTTCTTTTCTCCATGTACATTAAACAGCTGGAATAATTGGATTTCAATAAAGTCTGGTGTTTTCCCATCTGCTGTGTTGCTGTTCCTTCTCTGTGCCTCAGAAGGTTCTTCCCCTTGTCGGGGGAAGAGGAGAGAGAAGAGGAGGAGCAGAAGGACTTGGGCTGATTCCACCTCCACTGTTCTTTAAGTCTTTCCTGGCTGGTTTCTGGGATCTAAAGCCATGTTAATTGGAAGGGAAAGGGGCTTCACGTACATCCCCTTTGCTCAGGCTGCAACTACACTGGCCAGCTGGATCACTTTACTGCAGTTTGAGTCACAGCCTGCATTGCAGTTGATCACAGTCAGTGATCACACACAGTAGCTGCGAAATGCTTCACAATGTGATGCAGTGGACATTTCAGCCCCTACATATTTCCTTCCTTCCTCTGGTCCTGCCTCTGCCAATCTTTTTATCGTTTGCTGTCAAACCTCTCGGTTTGAAAGAGTTGCACAGTGTTCCAGAAAAGGTGCCAGCATTCCCAAATACTTTTTAACATGTGCAGAAAGACACATACCACAGAAACATTTTTTTTATTTCATCTAGGTCTGTTTTGTCTAACTTTTTTTTCATCTGGAAATTATCTAGAGCTAAATTACAGTAGTATACAAATACTAATGATAATGTGATCCAACAATAATCTCATGAATGTAATTATTTTTTTAAAAATAGGATGATTGGGGAAGAATATTGCAAAGGCAGGTTTTTTTGTTGTCTTGAGCATCAAGCGCCCAACATCATTTAGCTACACCTTATTGTAGCAAATTGATGAAATGCCAGGACTTGATTGAGTGTATGACCAAGGGTGCAGCTGAGACAAGCCTTGGCACCTTATAAATTAGCCACAATTAGCTGGCACTGTTTTATTACATGAACACGGATAGAATTCTGAAAGGTAAATGAAATATTAAACCATTATTAAATAGATTGCGAGATTAAAACAAATACTAAACTAATACAGTTTAAACCCATTTAAAAACAACATTGAAACGTCATGTGGCATGAAAAGATTCTGGCCAAAATGTCCAACTGCTAGATTAATTAACAATAGCTTTGCTTGCTGGCAGAAGGACATTAAGAAAGAAACAGCCTTGCCTCCTTTGGATGGAAGATCCATAGCCTGGGAGCAGCCACCAAGAGGGCTCTTCTTGTTTTGAAGTTACGTGACATGTGTCTAACACTGGGTGGCCGTTCTATGCTCCTGGCCACAGAAAATTGATAACTGAAGTTTCCCTGGAATTCTGTGCTGTAGAGCAGTGGTCTCCAACCTTGGGCCTCCAGATGTTCTTGGACTTCAGCTCCCAGAAATCCTGGCCAGCAGAGGTGGTGGTGAAGGCTTCTGGGAGTTGAAGTCCAAGAATATCTGGAGGCCC